AGGGGGGAGGGGAGGGGAAGCCGGCTGGCAGCAGCAGGTGAGTGGGAGAGGGGAGGCGGGCAGGGCACCTGCAGGGTGGGGGAGGAGTGTGTCCGTGGGTCCAGGGAAGGGTCACAGGTCACACTGAGGATCACAGATCAGAAGGCCCCGGCTCCTCCCAAGCCCCGGTCAGACTGCTGGCTGAGGGGTCAGGGGTCAGGAGAGGTCACTGGTTACCAGGGAGAAAGGGAGCCCTGGATACTGGTCAGAATGGGGGGTCACTAGGAAGACTGGGCTTTGCCCATCTGGCACAGAGGGAAGGCTCAGGTTACAGGTCCACCTGGGAGTCAGACTGGGCAAAGCTCCTTTATCCATCCCGGATACAGGAGAGCAATTGTTAAACCAGGAGAGGTGACCTTTCAGTATCAGCCGCACCATTCCCTCCTCCAGGAGGCCCTCCCTGCCTCCTCCCCCCACCCCGCTGGGTCAGGGGCCCCCTCTGGGCTCCCTCACCCCCGCCCAGGCCTCCCCAACTGCGGTGCTGCACACTCCGGGTCGCCCCTGTCTGGGCACAGGCCTGTCTCCCCCACTGGACTGTGAGTCCATGAGAGGAAGGCCTGGAGCTGTGGTGGGCACTTTTGTGTCCCCAACACAAGGCCAGAAGCACAACAGACAGACACTCTGGGAAATTCTTCACTGATACAGCTCCTAGGGCACATGAAACTAAAGAGAAAATGAACAAATGGGACTATGGACGATACAAACGCGCTCATGGACAAAGGCAGGCGCACTCCCAGACAAGCTCACGCGGTGGGACCCCAGGCACCCGCTCCCCGGCTCCTCGCCCCTGACTCGGGCACCTGCTGCTTGGGCTGGGCCCTGGTAGGCACCTCTCATCAGCCACCCCCTTCCACTTTCCTCAAGAGCCCAGCCAGCTGAGTTCCGAGGTGAGGAAGGGCTGCTATGGACTGTGTGTGAAGGAGCAAAGTTACTTATATACCAGCCACAGACTTGCAGAAACTAGTACTATAACCTCATCTGTCCTTGTCCCCTACAATTTATTCCCACAAAACAGCCATTAAAACGTCAGTCAACTTACGTAAGTCGAGCTCAGAACCCTCCCCCGGCTCCTTTCACTGAGTAAAAGCAGAAGTTGACTCCCTGGCTCACAGGTCCTTGTTACCTCCCTGACTCACTCCTCCTCTCTCTTATCCATCACTACTCGTAGCGCTGCTCTCGCCATACAGTAGGTCCTCGGGTTACGTCGGAGATCCGTTCCCACGGCGCTACATAACGCGATTTTCCCCGTAAGTCGGAACCCACCTACATAAGCACCTACGTCACTCACACGGAGCACATACACAGCAGTAATGAAGTGAAACAGTAAAAAAAAATTTAAAGAAAGATAACAATTCCTGACCTTTACTTGCGGTAAATAAATAATAAAAAACAAAGCACATATGTACGTACGTCAAAATGACGGAACTTATTTTTTTTAAATAAATAAGTGGGAGATGGTGATGTAACCACAAAACGACATGCGTCGAGCCGACATAACCCAAGGACTGTCTGTATTGTTCTCTTTTCTTCTATGCAGGTCACACCACCAGGCATGTTGCAGCCCCAGGGCCTTTGCACTTGCTTTCCCCTCAGCTGGGACATTCTTTCCCCACATAATTGCTTCAGATCTCTAGTCACAGAGCTTCCCTGACCCTCCTCCCTAAAATAGCAATTCCTGCCTTCCCAGCCATGCCTCATTTCTCTTATCTCACTACCATTTTCTTCCACAGCACTTATCAATGAGACATATCTATGTAAGCGGTTTTATTCAGTTTTTACAGCACCTAGGACGTGCTTGGCGTGAGAAGCTGAGTAAAAGTTCAGTGAATTAATTTTCCAATTCCATCCGTGCTTTCTTGTGCACACACTTACATATTTTAATGAGAAAGCCTTATCTTTTCTCCACCTTTACCCATTATTTTACATGCAATGTGTGATGACGGTTAAACTTTTTTTTAAAATATATTTTTATTGATTTCAGAGAAGAAGGGAGAGGGAGAGATTGAAACATCAATGATGAGAGAGTCTCATTGATCGGCTGCCTCCTGCACATCCCCTACTGGGGATTGATCCTGCAACACAGGCATCTGCCTTTGACAGGAATCAAACCTGGGACCCTTCAGTCCGCAGGCGGACATTCTATCCACTGAGTCAAACCAGCTAGGGTGATGGTTAACTTTTTAAAAAATAAATATTTTTCTTGATTTCTGAGAGGAAGGGAGAGGCAGAGATAGAAACATCAATGATGAGAATCATTGATCGGCTTCTCCTGCATGTGGCCCCCACTGGGGATCGTGTGCCCTGACCGAGGATATTCAACCGTGACTTCCTGGTTCATAGGTTGACACTCAGCCACTGAGCCACGTCAGCCGGGCACGACAGTTAACTTTAAAATGAGCTCACAGCTCAGGGAATACGGGGTCAAGACACATTTCAAGGACATGCGCTGTTCCCCAATGATTCCAGACTGGCACCTGGAAAAGGTAACTACTGAGAATGTGTGTTATCTGGGGGGAGGCAGTGTGAATGCATTTTTGGTTGGACAAGAGTTAGCTGTGCGGGGAGTTTAGATAATAGAATGGAAGCACAGAGCAAAGGGTACATATTGAGAGTGAGTGTTCAAAGGGGTGGACTGTGGAGGACTTGGGGCTACCCTCTGCACCCTCTTTCCGCAGTTAGAAAAACTGTCTGCTGCCAGAGAGCCAGTTGCCCTCTGTGGAAGCCGACAAGGACACATTTGCCTTTCTGTGTCTGTTGGCGTGCAGGTGACCTTGACAAATCCGACTGTACTTGGGAATCGGGAGCTAATCACTAGGGACTGGGGAACTCTACTCTCACCAGGGCAGCTGGGACACATTCCATTTTCCAAAGATGGCTGCGACAACATCGCTCATCCTACCTGTTCTTCCAACATCTGACCTCGATGCTCTTCCCACCAAGAAGTGGGGTCTATGTCCCCTCCTCTTACATTTGTGCAGTTGTGTGACTCACATGGAATCAATAGAATATGGCAGAAACCACACTACAGGACTCCCAAGATTAGGTAGAAAAGCCACGTAGTCAACATCACTGAAATACTGTCCACGACGCCTTCAGCCACCGTATAAGCAGTCTGACTACCTGGAGGCAGCCATGTTGTGGGGAAGCCCAAGCTAGCAAGTGTGAGAGCACATGGAAAGGTCTGAGGCCGCAGAGGGATGCCTGTGCAGCCCCCCACCACCCTGCCCCAAGAACCACTTGATTGCATCCTGAGCCAGAACCACTCAAACCCTGGCCCACAGCACCCGTCTTATATAATAAAAGAGAAACATGCAAATTAACCATCCCTCTGCTATGCTCAAGCCACACCCACAAGCCAATTAGGAGCAAGTATGCAAATTAACCCAACTAAGATGGCTTGGCCATGGAGCTGGAGCGGAAGGAGGCTTGGGTTGCCCCCGGTGATGGAGGAAGTCAAGCTTCCCGCCTGCCCTGGCCAGACCTGGGCTTCGCTCAAGGCTACAAAGTTTCAATTATAGAAGAAAAATAAATCCCAGAAAAGAAAAAAAAAAGGTGAGGCTGGGAGCTTGGGTCGCCAGGGGGCTTGGCCAGACTGAAAACAGCCAT